TTTGTCTCTCTTAATTAGTTTTGGTTTGAAATCTACTTAGTCTGTAAACAAGATTGCTACCCCTGCTTTTTTTCCGGGTTTCTGTTGCATGGAGAACAGTTTTCCATCTTTTTACTTTCAGTCTATGAATTTCTTTTTGAATTAGGTGTGTTTCTTGAATACAGTATATTGCTGGATTTTGCTTCTTAATCCATTCTGCCAGTCTATTTCTTTTGATTGGTGAATTGAGTCCATTAACATTGATGGTTATAATTGATAGATATTGATTCATCCTTGTCATGATGTTTTACTGTTGTTGGCTCTTTTATTTCTTATTTTTCCCCCTTTCCCTTTAGTGTCTTACCTTCCCTGGTGACTTCTCTCTGTTGCTCCTCATGGAGTTGAGACTTTCATTTCTTTTTTTCTTGGATATTGTTTAGAATTGCTTAAAGTGCTGGTTTGGTGTTTATGAAATTTCTCAGGTGTTCTTTCTCATGGCAGTATCTAATTTCCCCATCAATTTTGAAAGATAATTTTGCAGGATACAACAGTCTAGGTTGGAAGTTATTTTCTTTTAGAGCTTGAAACACTTCACTCCAGGCTCTCCTTGACTTGAGGGTTTGTGTTGAGATGTCTGTCGTGATTCTGATGGGCTTTTCTTTATAGGTGATTTGTTTCTTTTCTCTAACTGCTTGTAGGATTTTGTTCTGTTGGCTTTCTGGGATCTTGACTGTTACATGTCTAGGTGTAGGTTATTTTTTGATCGTGGGTAGTTGAAGTTCTGTATGCCTCACTTATCTGTATGTCAAATTCTCTACCTCTGTCTGTGAAGTTTTCTACTATTACTTCTGTCAACAGTGTTTTTATGTCATTTGTACTTTCTCCTGCTTTTTCATGGACTCCTATCAGTCTTATGTTACACTTCTTTGCATCATCTAGCGGCTGCTAGATTGATTTCTCGTGGTCCCTTACTATTTTTTAAAAATCTCTGTTTTCATGGTCACTAACTGCAATCCTGTCTTCTATATCTGATAGTCTATCTTCACATTTGCTCAATCTGTTGTGAATACTTTCAATGGAGTTTTTAATCTCCTATATATCTTTGAATCTATTTCATGGATTCTATTTCTTTTCTATGTTGGGCATTCATGATTTCCATTTCTTTCTTGTGCTGGGCATTCATGGCTTCCAGCGTGGTTCTGAGCTCATCTATTTTTTTTATCTGTTTCTGTTCTAGAATCTCTAATCATATCTTTCACTCTACTCACCATCTCTGTAGTTATCTGGGAAATTATTTCTGTTTTGAATTTTTCTAGAGCCTCATTCATCTGTTTTGTTACTTCCTGTGCTATCAGTTTGGGTGTCCAGGTGGTTATCATATTTTTCCACCTTGTTTCCCCCAGAATTTGCCTTTGGTGAGCTGGAAGTCTGGGTTTGTGTCCTGTCAAGGTGTCTTCTCATTTTTAATTCTGTTGTTGGTGTTGTTTTTGCTTTAATTCCTGGGCTGATACTTCAATATTTCTTATTGTGAGTATCTTTATTACTTGTGTTTAGAGCCCCTAAGGAGTGACTGCTTATCAGAGATATCTTCCAGGTATAGCTTGACAATTTAGTCTTTGAGTCTCTAATGCCTCTTAGGCAATCTCATTTTCAGTATATCAGGGAGGACAACTGATTAGATCAATCACAACACCTTAGCCCAACTGACACAATCAGTGTCAACAATAGCATCAAACACAGCTTAGAAAATGACAATTTGTGGTAGCAGTTAATGTGTCACCTTTAACCACATGAGCTAGATCAAAATCTAGGGCCAACCCAAAATATGTTTGTAGGAAGTAAACCCTTCAATATGGAAAATTTTCCCTTTGGGACAAGGATTTAAGAGGGGTTGGGGCGGGAGGGAGAGATGGAGGGAGAGGGAAAGGGTAGAGGTGAGGCCAGAGGACATGGGAAGATCACGCAAACTGTGGGGATCTGTTGGAGACAGGAGGAAAAGACAGCAAAAGAACAAAGACAATTACAGAACAAACTGACAACAATAGGGAAGCTAGAATAGTGACAGTTGAGAGGACAGAGAGAGAGAAACAATTCAAAATGGGACAGGAACAGGAACAAAGAGGGAGAGAAATATAGAGCCAGGAGAGAGAGAGAGAGAAAAAGAAAAGAAAAAATATATATATATATACAAAATAAAACAAAAGTTCTCCCTCAGGATATGTCTCTGCTGTCCTGGTAAACAATGTGAGCAGTAGTGTGTGGGTCCAAGTTGATTAGTCTCAGCAAGCCAGCTGTAGTCTACTGAGATTATTTTTTTCTTTCTGGTACCGGGGATCAAACTCAGGTTGTGCTTGCGAGGCAGGTGGCATAACGACTGAGCTAAATCCCCGGCCCGGTAGTCTACTGAGATTCAGGGTGATTTCTGGCTGCAAGATCCAAGCCGAGTTCCCTGACCTTCTGCAGGATTAAACTCTGCAAGGTTCTACTGCAAGTTCCAGCTGTCCTCCCCCCTAGGCGAGTCTGGGTTTCTTTGGGAGGTGCTGATCCCACCAACTTACTAACCAGGATGGTCCAGTGTGCTTTTATTGAAGAGATTTTCTTCACTTTCCCAGTGGGCTTCAATTTTCATTGAGGAGCCTCAGAGAGGCCCTCTCTGTTGTTCACTTCTGCTCTATCTTCTGGGGCTCATAACCATGGCCTTTATGTTCCCCCTGGTGCCTCTGCTGTGCAGATTCAGATACCACGTGGCGGGCTCTGGTGGGACTGCTGGTGTCCGCGGGGATGGGTTCCAGCGTGGGCCCTGAGTCCCTTTCTTTTCCCAGCAGCTGTGCTGAGCCGCCCCAGCCATGTCACCGAGCAGCACTGGCGGTTGTTCCTTTCACCGTGAGGTCCTCAGCCCTGGCAGGGAACCTGGGGTCCAGGATTCAGCAAGCAGCCTGAACCAAGGCTCAGAGCAGCCTGTGGCCACCCAGGGTCTCATCAGCAGGGAAGCAGAGGCCAGTAACAAGGTGAAGGAAGGTTCTGTGACTCCCAGCCCAGTGCTCTTTCCATGAAACCTTGGGGGACCAGCTTCTGACTGGGGGAGGAAGCCACTCCACAGCACTAGTCTCATTAAACTGGCCCTGAGGGAAGAGGAGAAGCAGCCCTGAGCGGCCAGTTTCCATGGAACACCTCCTCCCTGCCTGGAGCAACCATATCACCTCTGCTGACTTCACAACACATGGGGCCACCAAGGACGGCACAGGTTGCTCTGTAAGTGCCCTGGTCTTCTGCTGGGACCTCCAATGGGCTCTTAGCATGGCCCCTGTCCCAGGTACCCAACCTTGGGGCCCCACCAAGGACCCAGACCCCACCTGCTCAGGGTCCTCCACCTCCACGCCAAGGGGCAGATGTACAGCTGCTCAGTGGTATTTTGCCCCTAAGGGTCAAAACCGTGCTCTAATTAGAGACAGACAGCAGGGTGTGCAGGGAGGGAGGGGTCATCAATAACTAACACATGCTGTTTGTAGTTTTGAGACCAAACAAGCTGAAGGTCACCATCTCCCACTGAACAAACAGCCAGGATGTCACAGCAGCTTGGGAACTCTGGACCTGGCACCAGGATTGGCTGTGCACCACGGGAAATTGAAAGAGACAGCCTTCCAGCCAGTGGGACGTGGTCCCCGGGTGCTGCCTGGCCCAAGCTCATGACTGAAATCACAGGAAAAGCCCAAGTCCAGGAAATAAGGTATCTACCCTGCTAAGCCAGGCGTGATTTGGGTTAAGGTTACAGTTAAGGTTAGGGTTAGAGTTAAGGTTAGGTTAGGGTTAAGGTTAAGGTTAGGGTCAGGGTGTACTGCAGGCTGTAGTGGCCTCCTATGTGGAACCGACCTCAGAGAAAGAGGCAGAGACCCTCTCTGCAATGAGGCCCTGGACCACAGGGCACCCAAGGAGCCTAGCAGGCAGGCACCTTCCCCACACCCTGGAATGAGGTGAAGATTGCTCCTGTCCCACACTGCCTGACACAGCAAAGTGCAGTTATTTCCCAGACAAGGCTCCAACAGACTTCCACCCCACCCAAGGTCACTCGGTCGCATGGATGAAGGGCACTATTGGCCAAGACAATGCAAGATCTGCTAAGGATGCCCTGAAGGCCAGAGTCCTTTCCCCAGAGCCACCCACCTTCTGGACCAGAGCTCTGAGACACATCAGGAAACTGAGGCACAGCCCAAACACAGCCCGAGATTGAAGGAGAAGAGGTCCCAGGCTGAGGTTGGACCAATGACAGGGTGACAGGACCTGGGTATCCCAGGACAGGCCAACTCACAGTCAGGTGAGCCGCATCACTACCTGGAGCAGGTGGAGGTGTGGCGGGGGCGGGGGGGGGGGCACAGCTTGGGTCTGATTCCCAGGAAGTGTCGCCCTCTCTGGGTCACATTTGGTCTCTAGCACCTGGCTGTTTCCAGTCACTGCCCGAGGGCGATCCGCTGTGCATTTGCGCCACCTAGCGTTGGTAGCATTTCAACAGCCCTTTCAGCAAAACTTGAATTTGTGGGAGTCCTGTCCGGGCATTACAGGACATGAGGTGATTTGCCCAAGGATGGAGAATGAGTGAGCCAAGAAGCCGCTCTCCTATCACCAGTCCCAGGGCCCCCCAGAGAAGCTTGTTAGTGTGTTGCAGGCTGCGACCCAAAAGAGAGACCTTCTCAGGTCATTGCTGTGCCCTGCTCCCTGTCTCAGCCTCCGGCTACACTTACCATCTACCTATTAAACGCATCCAGGCACAGTGGTGCACACCTGTAAGCCCAGGTAGTTGGGAGGCTGAGGAAGGAGAAAGGCAAGTTCAAGCCCTGCCTCACCAATTTAGCAAGACCCTGTATCAAAATAAAAGATATTTTAAAAAGAACCGGGATGTATTTCATTGGTAGAACACTTGTCGAGCAGGCACAGGTGGCTGAGTTTAATCTCTAGTACTACCAAAAAAATCCACAGGTTACATTTGAAAAGAAAACAGAATTTGAGAGGAAATAAAACTTCCTACATCAAAACTTACACTTTAATTGCAATGGGCACAACTCAGTAGTGGTTCAGCAGTGAGATGACTCTCTGAGGCCTCAGCAAATCTAAAAGCTGTAAAGGATACACAGTCCTGGATTCTCATTTCTATTTCTTACTCTGGGAAGACAAGAAGGAAATAAGCATGTAAGTGTGCACCTATTACAGAGGGGCATATTGCACACGTGCCAGTCTATACAGTAGAAAATCACCTGCGATCTTTAGCCTTTCAGCAGTGACCCATGACAATTGCTAATGGCCACTCGTAGCTGAGCTAGCACTGGAAGATGGGACCTCCCTTCTAAAGAGGACCCTCAGGGAACACTCCAGCCAAGCTCGGGCTCTGAGGACTTGTCTTAGATGTTGTCTGACAGCCACACTTCCCATAGGAGAGTGCAGTGTGAGTCCCAGCAAATCACCCCATTGCTCCCTCTGTGGGACACACAGCTGGAACCCAGGTAGAGAAACAACCCTCTGTGAAGTCACAGTGGCTCTGATGTCTACAGGACAGCATTGGTCCCAGTGTCTGACAGTTCTAAATCTAATAAACAATTGAATATTCAACAACATTCAGCTACAGGGACTCAATCAGCATTTTCTAGCCTTCATGTCTGGTTTATGTCAGTGGAAAACTCACATATCTGCTGCTGTTACCAGCCTGCTTGGTGTGGCTCTTGACATGGTTTATGATCTACATTAGTGATGTGAAGTCCCCGTGGACCCCGTTGTCCACTTACCATGCCCATAAACACCTCAGTGGAAGGAATCAGAATTGGAGGGTGTGTTTAAATGAAGCATGAGGGATGACTATTTTCTCATGCTTAGCATTTGGGTCATACCTCTGTCAGCATATGTTGGTGAGTGCTCTGTGCAAGATTCTGGCTGTTGTTCCATGCTCTTGGTTTTGAGAATTTGGAGTTTAATACAAATCGATGAATATGAAACATGTTAACAATATATTGGGGAATAGCAAGAACAGCCAACCAATATTGTGTTCTCGAAAACAGTTTGAGCAGTCATTGTTTGGATCTCAGGATGTACTTCTTGAAGGAAATCTCAGGCTGATAATAATTATAATACAACATGATATTAGATCATTGAAAGAATAATTGCTCTTTGACTTCATGTTCATTTTCCCATCCCATCCCTGCAGCACTGCCATGGGTTAATGATAATGGCCATCTCTGCTTTCCAGAAGAAGAAATTGAGGCTTGGAGAGGTCGGTTCACACAGTTGCTTTTGAAGGTCACACACCTGTCCACAGTCACCCAGTGAAAACCTCTGCAGCCCAAAGCTGTGCAGATATATGACAGAAAAGCACACAGTTATAACTACAGCATCAGTTACAGGAAAGCAATAGCATCTGATGAGCAGTCTGCTGTTTCTCCCAGGGACTGCTGACTTCTTCAAGGTCACCTTGTGTTTGTGGAGACAGGACCTCCTCCATGGGAGCTGGGATTGGCTTTCCAGAGAGCTCCCTTTTCTCTGCATTATCTTCAGTTTCTCCAGCTTCTCTGTAGTTTCTAGTTTTCTTGCCAACTCCTTTTTGATTCCTGGGGCTCTATTTCTTTTTTTATCTTCACTAAGTTGTTTTTTGAGATCTCGATTCCAGGTCCCAGGGAGGATATATTTGCTGCCGGCCTTTACTCCACCATTTTTAATCTACCTTTTCTTCTTTTAAATTGAACAGTCTCAGGTATTTTGTTATAGTAGTGCAAAGCTGACAAATACACAAATTAATTGATAATCAGATCAATTAATCCAAATTAAAGAAAGAAAAACACTCCAAGAGAAAAACAGGTAATGTACATTGAAATGTGAGAAGACAATCCACCGAAGAATAAACATGAATGTCATCACATTTGAAAAGACAACTGTTCTATAGGCATCACTGAGACACCAATTAAGATGAAATTGACTGCCCCATCACACTGACAATGTTCGGTGTTATTTGTTTGTTCTCAGGTGGCAGTATTTGTGGAGTCCTAGAGAAAGGCCCTCCATTTCCTGCTGTATACATTACCTGTATAGTGGTACAATGTTTCATTGGAAATATTTATCAAACACTTTCACACAGTGGGTGTCCTTTGACTCAGCAACCTTCTTCCAAAGAGTTATCCTAAGGAAATAAATATGATGGACCAAAGTTTAGCTGCAAGCAGCATATCCATAGGATTCTACTTTTTTAAGAAGAAAAAATGTGTACATGTGCCTTTAAGACAAAGTCCAGAAGACTATATATACCAAAAAATTAATTGTACTGTGTCACAGTGAGTGGCCACAGGCAGTGTAGAGGATGAAAAAGATTACAGTGGACCCTTGACTCTCAAGGGCTTGTTATAACTCAAGTTGGTCAATTGAAGGCTCAGGGCCCTCTTCATAGCCTTCAAAGTCTCTCTTCTGTATACAGGCAGATCTCAGTGTCCTTAGACGTTGGCCCAGGATTTCTCAACCCCACACAGGAAAGGATGTTGTAATATTCCTTCCAGAGCTCTTTAAGGATTAAATCTGTATCTGAGGCCATCTGGAAGCACAAGTGGCTGGCATTTGGGACTTAACTCAAGACTTTGTTCATAAGTTAAAACTAAAATTCCAGTCATAACCCAAATTGTTCACATGTCAGGCTGGTCGTAACTCAAGGGTCCGCTGTACTTGAAGACAAGACTTAGTTCAGTCACCAAGAGGCTCAGAGGGGCTACTTCCCACCCAAGAGTGCCCAGCATTCAGGAGACTCCCAGAAGAAAAAAAGCCACCAAGCCCAGAACTCTCTGGCTTTTATCTAGAATCTCAGTGTAAGAGAAGAAAGCAGGAGAGAAGCAGTTTGGGTCAGGAGCTGTCTCAAGGCTGGCAGTTTTTCTTGGGGAAAGCAGAAGGGCATGGCGAGACACAACATGCTTCACTAATCTAAACTTCTTGTTGGACTCTCACACAGCCTGTGTGTTTTCTCCCCATAGTTTAAACATTCACTCCTCACACAGCCTGTGTGCTTTTGGCCCCATGGTTTATTTACTTCGCATAGAGCCAGTGTGCTTTTGTCTTGCAGTTTAACCATTCACTCATCAGCCAAATCCCCCACGAAATTTATCACTAGATTGTAAGATTAGGGTTGGTCTTATATTTTATATTTTTCTTCAATAATTATATTTTAGGCTGCATATATGTATGTACACATATGCACACTTATGTATATAAACACCCACATGCACATACGTACAGGCTGGGGATTTTATTGCCTCAACGAAAATTGATATCCAAAGTAGGTTGAGTGCATACCAGGGAGCCTAGAAGATGACCCATTGAGATGTGGGGAGAAAACAGAGCTTCTGTCTATATCTGTGTTTTATCAAGAATGAGGAAGATGTTAAGAATCAGCAACACCTAACGACGAGTTCCCAGGGGCCCCTTACTAAGGGCACGGTAGCTGGGGCCTGCAGGCTCCAAGGGGGAGGCCTCTCTGCCCAGCTGTGATCTTTACCTCCCACCTCTCACCTCTCACCCCACCCGCTCTCAGTGGCTCACACCATGCTGCCGTTCGTGTGTGTCCTCGGACATGGATCTGTGACTCCAGTGTTCAGACTTACCTGAAGAAACCCTCAGGAAGTGGAAAAGAGGCTCTTGACAACACCACCAAGCCATGGCAGGCTGGAGATGACGATAACGGAAATGCAGGAGCTGGGGGTACTGCTTGTGCTCCTCACCGGCCTGTGCTGTGGGCCGCGTGGCCATATGAAAGTACTGACAAAGGGGGTATTTTAACAACAATGACAACACGAAGGATGAATAAGACTGAGACTCTTAGGAGCTCTGATGAGATGACAGTGTTGAGTAATAAAGCAAAGTGCAGAACAGGGCGCGATAATCACCAAGGCCTTATGAAAAGGGAGGAAAATATGGTCTGCCCTAGCTGTGTGTATTTATTTTCTTGCTTGTCTTTTTAAATTTTGGTTTTCTTTCTTCCCAAAGAGTTGATTTTATGAAGAACACCCTGCAGGGAATTGCTTGGAGCCCTGTTAGATGTATCTGCTGGCAGGACAGGTTTAGGGCCAGTCAGGGTCAACAATCCTGGCAGGGAGGTGACACCAGCCTGTGACTGTCCTCAGACAAGTTTAGAAGATTTGTTGCTATAAGTACATAGGCATTCTAAAGAGAACTGTAGAAATAAACAGTGGCAGTAGCTGACTTACAAGGGCAAGAATTAAGCAGACTCTGGGAGAGGGAGACATTTCCATCTTATCAGAATAACTTATTCTAATTTTTAAACTTTAAACCATGTGAATGTATTCCCTTCTCAAAGAAGTCAAAAGTAGTATTTTGGCTGGGCATGGTAGTGCACACCTGTGATCCCAGCACTCTGGAGGCTGAGGCAGGAGGATCGCTATGAGTTTGAGGCCAGCCTGGGCTTCACAGTGAGTTCACGACCAGCTTGGATTGCATAGTGAAACCCTGTCTCAAAAAAAGTAGTTTTTTGGGGTTTCTTTTTTTCCCCAGTACTGAGGACTAAACCCAGGGCCTTCTTACTGAGCTACATTCCCAGCCCTTCTTTGTCCTTTATTTTGAGACAGGGTCATGCTAAGTCACTGAGTTGCTCAGGCTGGGCCTCAAACTTTCGATCCTTCTGCTGGGATTACAGGTATGTGCCACCACACCCAGTTGCATTTCTGAACTACATTCTACAAAAACCATTCTACTCTTGGGTACTCTGCCTACTAGTTAGTTAGTTTCACTGCTGGGGACGGAAGCCAGCACCTCATGCTTTTCAGCCAAGTGCTCTACCTCTGAACTATACTCCCAGTTCCAGATTCAGTTTAAAAACTAAGACAAGTCAGAAGATTTCCTTATTCCTAAAACTACGTATTTACCACGCCCCACCCTAAATCTTTTTCAAGACATTTTCTGAATGTGACAGTGGAAAGAGAGAGAAAGAGGAAAGGAGAAGGCAGAGAGATAGAATAGATGCCTCCTGCCTGCAGCCCGAGGAAACAGCAATATACTTCCCCCCACCCAGAATCTATCCCACACCCCACTTGTACATGCACCCCACCCATGACAAACTTTGCCCTCTGAGTATTTGGCAAAAGTTGTGCCACCTATTTCTAGACGAAACACCATCTTCAGGCAACTTGTCCCCTCCCAGTCCTCTGGGGGCTCTCTACTGAGCCAAGTGGACAGGCCGTTCTCACAGCATTTTAAATATGGGGTCCCAGGCAGTGATTTAAATGACTGAGTCTAAAGTCTTAGAGAGTCCCCAAGGGACTTCCGGTTCTGGCCCGCATGTGAGAAGCTTCAAAGTCATCCCTCCCACCCACACCAAAAGAAAAAGGCTGAAAAAACGAAACATCAACAGCTCTTCTCAGCTTCCTCCCAGAATTTAGGTCACAGGACAAACTGCTCCCCCCTAATTGGAGGTGCTGGCAGGTGGATAGAAAGAATCCATTTA